TTTGTGCATATGTATGTATGCATGTGCATATATGTGTATGTATATTATGTGTATATAAATCTGTCCTCAATTAATTGTAGCCGGGGGGGGGAGGAAAGGGGACAAAAGAGCAAAGTAAAAAGTGCACAGCAGAGAACAAGTCGAAAACTTACAAGGAAGCAAAGAGAAGCCGGGCAGCTCAGAACACGATGTGCAGTATTTATCAATAGGCTTTCTCGAAACGGAAATTGATTGCTGTCTATTTTGGAGCCTCTCTTACGCTCTGCTGTGCACATGGCAATGCTTCCCCCCCCCCTTATTTTGTGTTGAAGTTTAAAATAAATTAATAAGAACAAAAGAACTCCCCAAATGGGGTCCTGAAGTATCAGCCTTGACTGAAACAATTGCCCAACAACAAATGTCTCTGTTAATGATCTCTCCCTCTTCTTTCCCTGGTGAGTGAAATACATTTCTGTACTCAACTCTGTGTGTGTGTGTGTGTGTGTGTGTGTGTGTGTGTGTGTGTGTGAACATGTGCATTCATTCCTCCTTTGGCCAGTTCAGATAAAAAGGATGTTCGCGTGGCACCTTTCCTCCTTCTTGGGATCATCTCCGCATTGCCCACTTGCCCAGATCACATGAAAATATTTCTCCCACCTTCTTCTTCGTTTGCCCCTCTAGCATGTTCATTTCCCTCTCTGTTCTTTTAAGATTATCAAAGCATAACAAAACCAGTCGGAATTATAATCTCTTTGTCTCCTCTGATGATAATGGGATTCAGAGAGGACATGCCTATCATCTCCTCTTGTTACAATGAAGCAGTTTATCCCTCCTTAGTCCTTATCATTTTGCATTCATGTTTCCCCCTTTATATTTCTCTTGACTCCTGTGTTTGCGCATCAAAATTTCCATTCAGCTGTGGTGTTTTCATCAGGATTTTTTGGAAGCCTTTATTTCCCCCTGAAGGACTGGACTCTTATTTCGATGGGTCTTGAGTCTCTATCTTCTACTTCCTAGAATTTCACTTCAAGCTCTCCACTCCTTTAGAATTAGAGTGGTGGTGAAATCATGTGTGGTACACACTGTGGCTCAGCACACCACTTCTTTCTGGCTGTGTTTTTTCTTTGACCTAGATGTTGGGGATTTGGCTATAATGTTGGTGGAAGTTTTTATTTGGAGGTATCTATCAGGAGGGAGCAAATGGATTTTATTCTATTTCTACTTTGCCCTCTGGCTCTAAAACAGCCGGGCAGTTTTATTTTAAGATTTCTTGAAATACAGTATGTAGGCTCTTTTTTTTGGGGGGGGGGAATAAAGGTGTTCTTGGAAGTCCAGTGATTTTTATATGATCTTGCCTTGACCTGTTTTCTGGGTCAGTTGTTTTTGCTATGAGATACTATGTATTTTTCCAATTTTTTGCCCAGTTTTTTTCACTTTGTTTTAATGTTTCTTGTTTTCTTTTTATTATCTTGTACACAGCAGAACATAAGAGAGGATTCAATATAAAACAATAAATTTCCATTTCAGGAAAGCCAACATAATAAATACTACACATTGTTTTTAAAGCTACCCAGCTTTTCTTTGCCTCCTTGTAGGTTTTCTTTTGTTCTCTGCTGTGCACTTTGTACTTTATTATTTTCTTTCTCCCTCCCTCAACCTCCCCCCCCGAAGGCTACAATGAAATGAGGATATATATTTATATATAAACCCACACATATATACACATATAGAATCAGTAGAACAAAATATCACCTTCCAAGCTCTTTTATAAATTGTCATTCATTCAGATATATCAAGATCATTCTCTACTCCTCGGAGCATGTGGCACCTGGAATACCATTGGGCAGTCATTATCACACACAGACATTAAGTGAGGTTTAACACAGAAACTTGTTTACTGCGCTGTGATTGGGGAGATCCAGGGCGTAGTCTAGGCCTATGAGGGATGTCCCATGGATGGGGAGGGCCTCTAGAAGCTCCTTTTGGTGGGTGGCACTGTGCTACCTGCATCAAGCCCCTGGACACTGCTCAGATCTCCTGGGAGAGAAATTTGGTCTGTCCATTTGAGAAAGAGCAAGTGGGTGAAGAATGTTACTGTCCAAATTTTAACATGCATTTGGATAGAAATCCTATGGAGCTTATCTCTTGGTGTGAGTGCAATGAGGGACCAGTCAGGGACCAGTATTTAGAATATGTTTGGATTTGTCCTTGGCTTATGGAATGCATGCACAGATATTTCCTGCCCTGCTCCAATGCAACATGTGAAACTTTATATTTTTAACATTCATTTTGAAAAAGTTTGAGTTCCAAATTCTCTCCCTCCTTCCAGCCCCTCCCCTATCAATAGGATACCTGTTATATATGTGAAGTCATGTAAAACATTTCCATATTAACAACAACGTGTGCAACTTTCAAAGCTTGGTTTCAGCCATGGATGACTAAGGTGCTGATATTATGTGATGATGAAAAGGTTTTTAAGTGACTCAAGATGTGCTCAGCCAATAGACTTCCTGACCAGTCAGTGTCTTTTTTCCTTCTTAGTTGGGAGTCAAGACTACTGGGTGGAGGAGCAGCAGCGCATGCCACATGTTTCTTTTGTATTTCTTCTCTCCTCATCTTAGGTAAATGGATATTCGGAGGTACCCAGGTGACTCTGAGCTCAGGAGATCCATCAACATCACATTGCCAACTGGAGTTCAAGGCGTCGACCGTCCAAGTAGTGGCAGCTGCTGGTAGAGGTGGTCAGATGTGAAAAGAGAATCACTCGAGGACGGCTGTGACCTCTTGTCATAGAGAGCAGAGAACTGTATGGAATCTAGAAAGGCACTGATCCTCAGAGCCTGAGCTTAATGAGGACTCCATGAAGGGAGGAAAGGCCTTTCAGGGCCGGGACCTGGGGCCAGCTTCTCCACTTGTGTGCCTTACTGCTATTGCACCCTAAGCCTGAACCCACCTTCCTCGGGAACCTTGCGTGAGACTTGGTTTGGAGGGAAGGCTTTGTGACTATCTTCTTGCTGTATCTTACATTCCCTTGTAAAAGGTACATAGGATAACCAAAAAAAAAAAAAAGCTGATAGACTGCCACAGCTTAACTGGGAGCACACTGCTGGCAGTACTGAAGCTACAACTGTTCGGTTAGCCCTCAAACTCTGAGGGGCTCTGGCAGGCTTTGCCATTAAGAGGGGGCACTGCATCTGTATCTGCATATCTATGTCACACATATGTATCTACATATGCATATGTATAATATATATGCATATGTAGATACACACACACACACACACATATAAAAAACCCTCCCCAATGAGTTGTGAGCTCTTTGAGGGCAGGGATTGTCTTTTGCCCCCTTTGTATCCCCGGTGCTTAGCATAGTGCCTGGCACTTAATAAATGCTGCTTTTTTTTTTTTTTGATGAGGCAATTGGGGTTAAGCGACTTGCCCAGGGTCACACAGCTAGTGACTGTTAAGTGTCTGAGGCTGGATTTGAACTCAGGTCCTCCTGACTTCAGGGCCGGTGCTCTATTCACTGCGCCACCTAAACAAATGCTTCTTGATAGATAAACCATCTAGGAAGGACTGTACAGACAATGGCTTTGTCCAGGGTTGAAAAGGCCTAAAGACCGGATTGTTTTGCTTTGGGGAAACTGTCCTCAAGCTCCCCAGGAAAGCACAGGTGTGTCTTTTCTAGCCTAACATTTTATGGGTGCTGCTGTTAGGTGGCAGGCGCTATGCTAGGTGCTGGGTTAGGAAATGAACCTGAGGAAGACCCAGAAGGCAGTGCGGTGGTGCACAGGGTGCTGGCAAGCTGACTCGTATAGATGAGCAATAATTAACATGAGCTTCAAAGTTTGCAAAGCACTTTGCACATAAAACCTCCCTGGATGCTCACAGGAATCCTGGGTCCTAAGTACTATGCCCATTTTCCAGACGAGGAAACTGAGGCACAGAGAGGTGCAGTAAGAAAGCTAGTAGGGGAGTATTTGAGTCAGGATCTGAACTCGGGTCCTCTCCCAATTGTGCCAGAGGCCACAGAGCGCTGGCCTTTAGGGCACGGCGGGCGCTCACCACCTGCAGCGCTCCGGAAGCTAAGAGGGGGGGGATCGGAGGCCCAGCTTTGGGGCACATGGAGGCCGCAACCAACCAGGATGCCAGAAGGCCGTAACACAGGCCACTCGAGGAGGAGGACCGATGGCGGCCGGCTGGCCCGCTGAGAAGCAGGGCAGGTCACATGGAGGGGAGTCCCGGGCCCTTCTCGCGATATCACGAGGAGCCAGCGCTCTGGAGGGACTCCAGGGGTACCCGCCAAGGCGGTCCTGGTCATAACTCCGCATGTAAATCCGTCGTCCTCGGAGGGGGGAGGTGCCGGTGCGTAACGTTCTCAGTGGCTGGGAGGGGAGGAGCGGGGCAGGGGCGGGGACTGGGTATTGCTCAGTTGCGGAATGTGTCGCTGTGGTAGGGTATATAGCCCCGCCCCTCCGACTGTGTGTGTGTGTGTGTGTGTGTGTGTGTGTGTGTGTGTGTGTGTGTGTGTGTGTGTGTGTGTGTGTGTGTGTGTGTGTGTGTGTGTGTGTGGGCGGGCGCCCGCCTTGGAGTAGCTCCGCCTCCAAATTCTGCATAAGGGGAGGGATGAGAAAGGAAGGTGGTGCCTTTGGGTAGCTCCGCCTGTGAACTCGATCACGTCACGAGAGCGGCGGTGTCTGCGGGAGTATTTGATCAATGGCTGGGAGAGGGGGCGTGGTCCATTTCGCCTAGACCCACCTCCCATAACTTCGGAGGGCAAGGGGTTTCCGGGGGCGAGGCCCTAGTTCCATTAGCGTTCAGTGAATGGCTCCGGAGCCGGCCTGTGCCACCGTTGTCGTCACTTCCGGAGGCGTTCCCCCCCTCCCCCGGTGCGGAGGGCCGGGGAGAGGAGGGGTCGGGCTGGCGATGAGTCAGGGCCCAGCCCGGGTGGCTGACGCCGGCGCCTGGAGGAGGCCCGAGGCCGCCTCCTGCTCTTTCCCCTTGCTGTGTCCGGCTCCGCTCGGCTCGGCTCGGCTCCTGGCCGGCGGGCCGGCGCCGATGGCGGCCAGCGGGCCGTGAGGGAGGGAACGATCCCGCGGCCGCCGGCGTCCATGTCAACGTCCTCTTCCATGTCGGTGCCCATGTCGGTGTCTGGGGCGGAGCCGGGCCGGGACTCAGCGGAGCCCGCGATCTCCGGGCCTGGAGCGCGGGGAACCGCCGGCGCCCCCGCCGTCTTCGTACTGTTGGAAGAGCGGCGGCCCGGAGGGCCCTCCGGAAGCAGCAGCGGCGGCGGCGGCGGCGGCGGCAGCGGCAGCAGCTCGGGTTCGCTGCTCAGGTCGGAGGGGGCCCGGGTTTGGGGCTCCAGAGCCCCGTGGATCTTCGAGAGGGCGGGGCAGGCGTCCCCCCCCCACCTCCGATGTGGAGGGTCACTTAGCCCACCTCTGATCGGGGCCCACTCAGAGGTTGGGGCCCCAGGATAGGGCAGCCGTTGAGTCTCGGGGGGGGTCTTCCAGGCCTTGGGAGAAAGGAGGAGGAGGGAACCGGGAGTCTAGGAAGGCCCTTGGCCTCGGGAAGGGAGATGGTCCCCCTTTGTGCAAAGGGACCCGGCGGCCTGGGAAAAGGCAAAGACTGGCTTAAGGAGGGCCTGGATTAGTCATCCCCCTCCCCTTGCACTGTTGGAACTCCAGGCTTAATCTCTTGGTTGTCTAGGATTGGAACTGCTCTCTGCCCTGAGCCCTTTAGGTCCCCCCTCCCCCATCCGTTCTCCCCTCTGTCCAGAGTTTGAGTGTTCCCCCTTGGAGGAAACTCCTCCTCTTGGAAATAGACCTGTGGGAGGGAGGCAAGGAAAGAAGGGAGGGTGCCGAGTTGGCTCCCATTGCCTGTTTTTGTTTTGGTTGTAGCCTTTCTTTTCCTGGCCGCTTCTAGCCACCGGCCCGTACACCACCCCCCCATCTAGCCCGTAAGAGAATTAATAGATGTTTCATCTGTTCTAACCTCCCACTTCTGAAGCCCCTTCCAGTGCTCGTGGTGTCTCTTCATGTCATCTGGATTTGGCTTAACCTGCCCCTCCCCTCCCCCAATTTGTCTCTTCTCTGGCTCCATCCTGGAATGGAGCAGCTTGGCTCCAGTCCCTGAACATTTCTTTAGCTCTTAGAACCTCTTTTTCAGTCCTTTACTAACTCGTTGAGACCCACATCTCCAAATTTCTTTACTGATCCTTGGTTTGCCATTCTTGGACATGCTAAGAAGTTGGGGTGCTCTGAGGGCCTTGTCATTTCTTGGAGCCATAAAATTCTCCTGGACACAGTTTCCAATTCTAACATTGCCCCCCCCAATCCCCTGAATGTGAAATCTCTCCTTTGCTCTTGTTTTGTCTCGCCCTTCTCTGTTTCCTTATTCGTTCCTGGTCCCTCTTTCAAGTCCCCACATCTCTTGCTGATATTCTGGCTCTGGTACTTACTTCACTCTCTTCATGTCATTGGGCAAGACAGTTCATTACTCTGGGCCTCAGTTTCTTCCTTGGAAAATTAGAAAGTTGAGCCTGCTTAGTCCTAAGGTCCTTCTGGCTCTAATTCCCATGAGTTCTCAAGTATTTTCCAGTGCCCAGATCTTTGGGTCCCTTTGCCTTTTCCCTATTCAGAAATCCTTCTCAGTTCCCAGATGTTTGACTTTTTCTCTGACTCTTTTCTTAGGTCAATTAGTAAACATTAAGTGCCAACTATGTGCCAGGTGCTGTGCTGAGTGATGAGGAGGCAAAAGACAGTCCCTGCCCTCAGGGAGCTCCCAGTCTTCTAGAGAAGACAACATGCCCACAGTGAACCTCTTCCTGACCCTTTGCCAAACCCTTTGCACACCTTCCCAACTCTCTTCCCACAATCACAGAACAGGAAAAATACTCAAGCACAGACTCTCCTCATGTCACGCTCAGGACCCCAGGGCCCAGAGAGCCTCAGGAATTTCACCAGAGGGCTAGGAGTAAGCCCTGTGACCAAGGGCCTGTCCCTGTGTGTCTGTGAGAGAGCCATAACGGGGAATGGGGGGGGCGGTTAAGATGAGGATCACATGACCCCCCCCAAATATCCACCTGTTCTCCTTGTAGCCTGAACTCCCTGCTCCCTGAGTCCGGGATTGTGGCCGACATTGAGCTGGAGAACGCCTTATCCCTGACCCCAGATAGCTTCTATGAGCTGAAGAGTCAGCCCCTCCATTCCAGGTACCAAGGGACCCACTCCTCATGCCACATGACCTCTGGCCCATCCCTCCCTGTGTTCCCTCCTCTCAGGCCACCAGGGGTCCAGGCTCCCCCTCTTCTGTCTGTCCCTCCCTGGGCACTGAAAAAGGAATGTGCTGAGTCATCTGTGTTCTGGGTATGATTGGGAAATCTTTGTCCCTCTTGTCCCTGTCTCTTTCTTGTTGCTCAATTCCATAGCTCCCATGGGGAGTCCCAGATCCTCAGGTCTGCCTGCCACTGTGGCCCATCAGCCACCCCTTCTGTCTTTCTTGTTTCCTTTTTAGCCTCCCTTCCCAGGCAGCCCCAGCAGCCTCCTCACAGCCTCCAGCTTCATCGTCTTTAGTCATGTCTTCCCGAATCCTCCTTCGCCAGCAGCTAATGAGGGCCCAAGCGCAAGAGCAAGAGCAGCGGGAGCGGCGGGAGCGGGCGGCCTCCACCACTTTCCCTAGTGGGCCAGCCCCTCCAGCATCCCCAGCCATCTCGGTGGTAGTTGGGGCTAGCCCGGGCGGCCCTTCTGGTGGGGTGGGGCTTACCCGGCCGGCCTCTGCTCAGGTGCCAGTGGAGGTGCTGAAGGTGAGGAGATTTGTCTGCAGGTTCTCGGAAGGGAGCCAATGAGGAGGCTGGCTTTAGAACAGGGATTTCCCCAGAAATCAATTTCAGTAGGGAATATGTGAGCTTAGATGAGAAAAGTCCCCTTGCTTTTTACTCACTTCTAACTAAAATGGAGAATTTCCTTCACTTCTTCATGCTACAAAGAAGGCAAAGAGTACCTGGCCTAGCTGGGCTTTGAAGGGCCCTTTCAGCTCTGCCAGGCTGTTCTCTGACAGCTCTGAGCTTGCTCTGGCAGGCAGAGGAGCTGCATGCCGGTCTTGGCATTTGCCAATGTTCTAATTCTGAGCCTCAGTTCTCAACCCTAAAATGAAGGGATGAGAGAAGAAGTGATGGCTAAAGTCCCTTCCAAGTGGAAATAGATAATTCTCTGAGGGCATAGACCAGCTGGGGCCTGGCCTAGGTTCCTAAAGGGGATTCTAGTATCCTGATTGTTCCCTGGCCCCTCTGTCCCAGGTCCAGACACACCTAGAGAACCCTACCCGCTACCACCTGCAGCAGGCCCGGCGCCAGCAGGTCAAACAGTACCTGTCGACTACACTTGGCCCCAAGCTGGCTTCTCAGGCCCTGACACCGCCACCTGCGGAGGGCACTTCAGCTGAGAGGTCCCAGCCAGCTGCAGGAAGTGCCCCCAATAGCCCCATGGCCCTTCTAAACATCGGCTCCAGTTCAGAAAAGGAGGTAAGCTGCCCATGGGGGCCTGGGGCAGAGTACCTAGCTCAAGTCAAACCTTCCCCTGCCACCTGGTTTTCTCTCTGGCTCACAGATTGATGATGTGATTGATGAGATCATCAGCTTGGAGTCCAGTTACAATGATGAGATGCTTGGCTACCTGCCTGGAGGCCCTGGGGGACTGCAGCTTCCAAGCACAGTGAGCCTCAGATGTGCCCAGGATATGGGGAGGAGGGCTATGGGGATATTCACTTTAAGAGCAAAGGCCCTCATTTGGTCAGGATAAAAAGGAAGCAGATGACATGGGGAATTGCAGTGTGCCCCTTTTACCCCATCCCTTTCTCCCACGGGTGGAGATTGGGACTAAGTTGTCCCATTTATGAGTGTCCCTTTGCCCCTGGGATGGAGACTGGGGACCCTGGCCTTTGGATTCCAATATCCCCTTTAAGGGCTCCTTCTGGACATTGTAAAGTTTTGCCAGGGATTTCTGGGGGCAGATAGAGGGTGAACTTGGTGGGGGGGAGACCTGGTAAGTCTCATCCCCACCCCCCCCAAAAAAGCTGCCCGTTTCTGGGAACCTGCTGGATGTTTACAGTGGCCCCAGTGCCGTGACCCCAGCTGTCCCTGTCAGCAACTCCTGCCCTGCTGAGCTGACCAGTATCAAGCAGGAGATCTCTGGTGAGCTGCTCTCCTCCCCCACTCCCCCCCCCCCCAGTGCTAGAAAGTCCAGCCCTCCAGGAGCCATGACCCAAGTAGTGGGGACTCAAGGGCTGGGGTACAGGGGAGCTTCAGAAACATCTGATGGAGACTACAATTGGGTGGCTGTTGGGAGGGGAATTAAAGGACAATGTTTGTGGACTAGCATCAGGGCTAGGAGGTGGGGGGGGGCCATGAGGTGGGGGGAGTGTGGCTCCCTTCCTTGACATGGCTCCTCTCTGTCCCTTCCCTGCAGAGAACGAGGCCAAGGCCCTTCTAAAGGAACGGCAGAAGAAGGACAATCATAATCTTAGTGAGCTTTGGGGGAGATGGGGGCTAGGGATTCCTGGGGCCTGGGATTCTAGGGCTGGCTCCTTCTCAGACAGACCACATGGCTCTGCTTCTAACCCTTTTCCCAGTTGAACGGCGGAGACGGTTTAACATCAATGACCGGATCAAGGAGCTGGGCACCCTGATCCCCAAGTCCAGTGACCCGTGAGTCCTTCTGGGGATGGAAATGGCTCTGCAAGCCTGGCTTCTCAGGGTTGGGGCAAGATTTTCTCCTTTTAATCCAGAGCAAGGCCCTAAGCCTCCCTGGGCAAGTAACTTTTCTCAATCCATGAAATGAGTGCTGGGACCTGACAATATCTACTCATTTCAGAGGAGAAAACTAGGGTGCTGAAGGAGAGCAGATTTGGAGGCAAGATCCGGGTTTGATTCCTGACTGCTACCTGTGACCTTCAGCATGGTCTTCCCTTTCTCTGTAAAAAGAGGGTTTCTTTAGTCAGTGTTTGCTGTTCTAGCTCCGCCCTGTCTCCCACTAGCAGTGCCAGCCTTCCTGTTGGTCCTCCCAGAGCCTAGGTGCAGGGGGGGAGGGGAATGGCAGAGACTGGGGCACCTGTTCTTAAGACTCCTGCTCCATGGCCTAGGGAAATTCGATTGAACAAGGGAACCATACTGAAGGCCTCAGTGGACTATATCCGAAAACTCCAGAAGGAGCAGCAGAGAGCCAAGGACTTGGAGAACCGCCAGCGGGTGCTGGAGCAAGCCAACCGAAGCCTGCAGCTCAGGGTCCAGGTGGGCCTGCCCACTTCCCTTCTTTTCCCTCCAGAAGGGGAGGGAAGGGGGAACATGGCTTTTGAATTTGGGGGAGAAGAAAAGCTTCCCGAGCTCAGGATGTTGACTTTTACCTGGGAGTGCTGAAGTGGGAAGCAAGAGTCTGAAAGAGAGGCGCCCAGGGGTTGGAAGGTGGACCTGGAGTCAGGAAGGCAGGAGTTACAATGGTGCTCCAGACACTACACAAGTCACCTAACCATTCTCCTCCTCAATTTTGTTATCTGCACAGTGGGGATAACTGTAGCTCCTTCCCCCAGGGTGGGCAGGGAGAAAGGAACCGACCTCTGTCAAGCACTTTGGGGTCAGGGGGTGGCAGCTTCCTGAGTCGGCCTTCTAGCTTTGTGCCCCTTGCAGGAGCTGGAACTCCAAGCCCAGATCCACGGCCTGCCCTTGTCCCCTGCCCCCAAGGCTGAGCCAGCTGAGTGCAGTGGCCCACCCCCCCTGCCACCCCCGCCGGAAGCTCTCCTAGATCTGCACTTTCCCGGGGATCCCCTGGGGGAGCTGGGCGAAGATCCCTTCCAGCTCGGCCTGGAGGACATTCTGATGGAGGAGGAGGAGGCAGCGGGAGCCCTGGGCCCGAGCCCTGCGGCGGGGCTGTCCCCTCTTCGGGCCGCCACTGACCCCTTGCTCTCCTCCGTCTCCCCGGCTCAGTCCAAGGGGAGCAGCAGCCGTCGGAGCAGTTTCAGCATGGAGGAGGAATCCTGATGAAGCCCCGCCTCCCGGGAGCCCCCTGGCGCGGACGCATTCATTCCTTCCCACTTTCCCCTCCCGTTGGTGAGGGAGAGGGGGCGGGGCCTGGACGGAAGAAGGGGTGCTTCCTCCCTCCTCCCCCCCTCCCCTGGCCCCGCAGCTATAACCGCGGAAGCTCCGTGTTGACCCCGGGGCTACCAGGCTGCAGGTTGGACGGGGGTGGGGGGAGGGGCTGACAGCCCGCGGGCTCCACTTCTCTTGGCAGACACAATAAAACATGGCTCAACTTTGTTAAAGCGCTTTGAAGTCGGCTCCGTCCTTTTCGGAAGGGGGGGCGCCGCACTGCACGCCATCCTAGAGCTCTTTTGGGCCTGGAAGCACCAACAGATAGGAGGCCAGGGCACCCGCCGACTCACCCCGCTCTTTCCGGTCTCCCCCCCCCGCAAAGTATAAAGCCGGAATGGGGGAAAAGGGCGGGGCGGGGGAGGACACGCCGGGACTTCCGGCGTAAGGAGACGTCGGCCTTCCCAGCACCCTCTCTTCCCCCCAGGAACCACCAAAAGTGGAGTAGATGGGGGAAAAAGAGGGAGAGACATCGAGTCGTCGTCTTGGTCCCTCCCTCTTCTCAACGCCCTTCCCTTTCTCACCCCCTGCCATTGGTAGCGTCCCACCTTCCCGGAGTCGCAGCCCAGCTGAGCCGACTGCGCCTGCGCGCACGGCGCCGGAGGGGGCGGCCGGGGAGGGGGGGGGCCAGGAACATGGCGCAGGCTCTTTCCGAGGAGGAGTTCCAACGGATGCAGGTGGCTGGAGGCGAGGCGCGGGGGCCCGGGGAGGGCTGGGCGGGGTTCTGAGGATACCGGCTGGAAGGAAGGGGTGGGGGGCTGCCTAGGAATTTTGCGGGAAGAGCCGGTAAGGGGCTGGGGGGGAGGGGAGCGGGATCGATTGCTTCGAGGGGGATATTCTGGGGGCGGGGCCGGTGGGGCTTAGCGAGTGAGGGGCCAATAGGGGTCCAGGGAGGGCGGGCACAGCAGGGCTCTGAACGGAAGGACGACCAATAGGAATCCAAAGGAAGCAGTGAGAGGCGGGGTGCTCAATGAGGGTCAGAGGAAGGCAGGGTCCAGGGCACTGGGGACAGGAAGAACCAATAGGGATCCAAGGAGGACATTGGAGGGAGGTGGGAGGACCCATGGGACCGGAAGGGGCCGCAGAACAGTGTTAAAAAAGGGGTCTTCAAATTCTGGAAGAAGAGCGCCTCCCCCAGTGACTGTGTGACCCTGCATAAGTCCCTGCTGCACCAGCGAATGGGGGAGGGGAGCTGCTGTGCTGATTTCAAAGGGATGGGGGGGGCAGAGAAACCCGAGGTGGGGGGAAGGTAAAACCTGGAAGGGAGGGAAGAAGTAATAATGACAAAGGGGGGACTCCCGCCCTACCCCCTCCCCCAGGCCCAGCTACTGGAGCTTCGGACCCAGAACTACCAGCTATCAGACGAGCTGAGAAAAAATGGTGTTGGTGAGGCTGCAGGGGAAAAAGGAGTGTTGGGTCTGGGGTGGGCGAAGGGCTAGATCGAGGCTGGGCCTGGGGCTCCACAGTACCTTCTCTGAGCTTTGATGCTGGGACCAGGGAAGCTGTCAAGTGGATTGAGGAGCAGCTGCAGCCTCTTGCAGCCCCGGACAAACAGCCATTCCTCTTTTCTCCCTCTGCAGAGCTCACTTCCCTCCGGCAGAGAATCATGTTTCTGGATAAGGAGTTTGCCCGAGCCCAGAAGGTGGCCAGGATCATCTAAGTCTCTGTCACCATCCTCCCAACCACTGCTTCAGGGTCTCCCTGGCCTCCCAGCTCTTAGTCCCCGACAATAGCATCTGCTCGTCCCCCCCCCCAAGTCTCTCTCCACGTCTCTATTTCAAGTTCTTTCCATTTCAGTAGTTTCCCCTGAGGCTTACCCTCTTTCCCCTCTTCTCTCTTTTCCCTGAAGTGGCTCTTCCCTAGTTCTTATCCTCACTAGTTTCTCCTTGAATTTCCCTTCCCTCCCCCTAAAGTTTTACTTCATTTCCCATTCCCTTAAACTGCCTCTTCCCATTCTTGTTCCTTAGTGATTTCTCTTGTGACCATTTCTTTCCTTGTTTCTGTCTTATCTCATAGGCCCTGAGCAAGAGCAAGAGAGCCCAGGTGAGGAGGACTTGAAGGAGCAGGAGTTGGGCAGCTTTCGGGGACTGGTTAGACATAGCTGATTTCAGCGCCTGGACATTATCAGCTCTTGCCTGGAGGAAAAACCTGGGTCCTTGGACTCACTGTGTAACGTTAGACCAGGCCTTGACCCTTCTGGGACCTCAGTCTCCTCCATCAGTGAAATATAAGAGAGTGAGGGAGTTTGGACAAAGTTAATCTTTAAGTACCCTTCTGGGTTTGAGATTCTGAGATTCCTGAGTTCTCTCTCTCTCCTAGAAGAAAGTTCCCCCCCCCCCGACACTTCCTTGAAAGTCCCTCTAATGTTCAATGCCGTGAAGTGAAACAAAGGCACAGGAGAGCTTTGTAGAGCTTGCGGGGAAGACTAAAGGCCCCTGTAGATGTCAATGCTAGGAGCTCACAGAAGATACTCTAGGGAATCCCTTAGATCTCAGAGAAGGCTGAGAGGGATGTTTTCTTTCCCTCTCCCCCTCTCTCCCCTCCCCTTCCCCCTCCTCTCTCCCTCCCTCTCTCTCTCTCTCTCTCTCTCTCTCTCTCTCTCTCTCTCTCTCTCTCTCTCTCCCCCTCTCCCTCCCTCCCCCCCCTTCCTCTCCCCCTCCCCTTTCTTCTACCTCCCTGCCACAACACCCCCTCCCCCCTTCATGCCTGTGTGTGTTCTGTATGCTCTTTCTTCCTGGTGCACACATGTGCATACCTCTGCGTGTCCTAGGAAGTAGAAGTTCTACTCAGTGAGAACCAGATGCTGCAGGGGAAACTCCACAGTCAGGAAGATGATTTTCGGCTGCAGAACAGCACGCTCCTTCAAGAGCTCAGCAAGGTCTGGGATTCCTGGCCGGGGGAGGGGAATGAGGAAGGGCCTGGCTGGGGGTCTTGAGGCCTGCCCCTGTCCCTGCCTGCTTCTGTAGTCGTGGTGCCTGTGATTCTCATGCTGGGGCCTCTTTATCCTTCAGCTTTGTGCACAGATCGAGCAGCTGGAGCAAGAGAATCAGCAGTTAAAGGAGAGCTCCCTGGGTCCAGGGCCTCCGAGCACAGCCAGCAGCCCCATGGATGGGGAGCTTCTGCGCCTGCAGGCCGAGAACACAGCCCTCCAGAGGAATGTGACAGGTAGAAGCCTGGGGTCCCAAAAGGTGGTGGCAGGAGGGGACCTGGGGTTCCCTGAGGAGGTGGCAGGGGCTGAGCCCCCCTCCCCCACCCCACGTGCTCAGCCCTGCAGGAACGCTATGAGAAAGAGCAGACAGGTTCCCTGGGCCTGCTGGGGACTGCTGGAAAGGATGAGGCAGGGGGCTGTGGGGACCCTCCAGGAGGCCCAGTAGCCCCACCCCTGTTGGCAGAGGCCGAGCTGAAGTGGGAAGTGGAGAAGGAGGAGAAGAGGCTACTTCGGGAGCGTTTACAGGGACTTGAGGTAGGCAGGTCTGGGGCTGGTGGGAGGTGCCTCAAGGAGGTCAGGTCACCAGTTACACCTCATACATCTGTCTACAGAGCTCGAAGCAGGAGGAGACGGCAAAGCTGCAGGAGGAGGTGGCCAAGGTGGGACTTTGCGTGGCACCTTGTGACAGGAGGCCACAGCTGGTATCCCCTTCCCCCTCCTCCAGGCCACAGTTTCCCTGGCACTTCAGCTCCTCCTCCCTTTCCTAGCACCAAATCACTTTGGTTCTCTTGCCCTGTAATTGGCCCAGCTGCTTTGGTTTCTAGTGAGCCTTTGTCCCTTTCTCCCAGAATCCCCTCCAGTCTGTTGGGTGGGAGGAGCCTGGCAATCTGTCATTGCCCTCTTGCCAGCACATGGTAGCTTTCAGTGGTAGCCACTCCCTCGTGCCTGGTCCTGAGCCAGGCTTCTGTCCTGCTCATCTCCCAGTCACCCTCTGTTCCTTCAATTCCCAACGTTCCTAGTCCCTTATGTTGGCTTCGTTGTGTCTTGAGGTCCGTGGCCTTTCTGTCCCACAGTTGTCGGAGAAGCTGAAGAAGAAACAGGAGAGGTACATGGGGACCCCTTGAGAGCCGGGGCTTCAGGGAGGGACCCAGGGGGAGGGTCTCAAAGCTGCCCAGCCCACTTATCTTTCCTTCCCTTGCTTAGCTTCTTCCGCCTGCAGACTGAGAAGGAGGCTTTGTATAATGACAGCAGGTATGGGGCTGGGCGTGGCTTGGAAGACCTGAGGGAGAGGAGGAGCCAGGTCACCGGCATGCACACCTCATCCTATCCCCTGGCAGGAATAAGATTGAAGAACTTCGGCAGCACCAAGAGGCGGATCTCAAAGCCCAGCTAGTGCGGACTCAGAAGCTGCAACAGGAGCTCCAGGCGGCCAACCAGGTTGCCCATGGTTAGAGGGGAGGGATAGTGAGCCAGAGAGCCAAGCAGTCTGACTTTGCTTTGCCCTGTCCCATCCAGAGCCTAGCCGAGCTAAGGGAACAATGCCAGACTGAGCGCCAGGACCACGCGAGTGCCCTCCGTGCCCTCCAGGACCAGGTATGGTTTGAGGCTGCTCTGTCCACTGGCAAAAAGCAGGTCTTAGGAAAACTTGGCATCACATGGTCTGTGTGGATTTTGTGTTTCTCTTTTTCTCTCTCTCCCTTTCTCTTCCTCTGGATCCCTCTGTGTCTTCTCCCTGGGCTTTGCACTCCTGGGGAGCCAGGCAGCCTGCCAAAGTGCAGACTCACAGGAGCAGGTGCAGGCACTGTTGGCAGAGAATGATGCCCTGCGGACCAACCTGGCTGCCCTAGAGCAGGTATTGGGGCTGGGGTGTGCCCTCTCCATGTGGCCCTGGCTTTGGCTCTCTGCATCTCCCTTTGGTGTGTGCTCTCCCTCTCCCCCCTTGCTCTTTTTCCTCGGTGTCTGTGGGATGGCCCTCTTAGGCCCCTATGCCTCCTGGGGCCCCCTCAGATCCAGACAGCCAAGACTCAGGAGCTGTGTGCCTTGCGGGAGCAGACTGCAGGCCTGGCCACAGAGCTGCAGCAGTGCCAGGCAGAATTTGAGGTCTTGGCAGGCCAGAGAGATGATCTTCGCTCCCAGCTCCAGGTGAGTAATGATTACCTGCCTCCCTTTTCCCTGTTGCGCTAGGGCCATGGTTTGGGGGGGGGGTTTGAGTGGGTTAACACTCCTTAACACTCTTCAGGAATCACTCCGGGCAAATGGGCGGCTTCTGGAACAGCTCCAGGTCCTGGGGCAAGAGAAAGAACATCTTAGTCGGGAACTGGAGGAGGCCCGGAAGGTGAGCAGAAGCTCAGGCTGCCTGGGTTCTTGAGGAGCACAGACCTTGGAGGTGGGGCTGCTTTCCCCAAGTCTCTCAGTAATTCTCTGGAATGTCCTGGGGATTTGGGGGACTCTTCAGGGCTCTAGGAAAACCCTGAGGGTCTGGCAGGTCGCTTAGGGGTTTTCGGGGCTCCGATGTGGGCTTTGGAGTTAGCTCTTTTAGGATGTTTGGGCCGGAATGGCTGGCTTTCTTGGGAAACTGGGGATCCTGCTGCCTGTTACATTCCAGTCCCACCAGCCTCTTGGTGATAAAAGGATGGTCAGGAAACAGCTGAAAAGAACCGTGATCCCAAAGCCTGTGGGCCCCAACTCCTTGGGCTTCCTTTTTGGCCAAGGGGATGCTAGAATGCTTTATGATCTTATGGGCAAGGTCGTTGAGAACGGAGCATGGTCAGCTCCCTTTGGGAAGTCCCTAGTGGCGTCCTAGCAGCCTTGCTGAAGTCCACAAGATTGGGGTCCTGGGGCCTTGGGAGTCCAGCTCAGCTGTGCCCTACAGAGTGCTGAAAAGAGGAAGGTCCTCCTGGATGAGGTGGCGGCTGAGGCACTGCAGGAAAAGTCAAGGCACAAGGAGGAGCTGGGCTTGGCCAGGCTGCAGGCAGAAAAGGACGTGCTGGCAGTGCGGGCTCGCTATGAGCGGGAGCTCCGGCAGCTCCATGATGGCCGGCGGCAACAGGAGGAAGAGCTCCGGGCCCAGATCCGAGAAGAGAAGGTGAAGTTGGGGCTGGGGGGTAGAGGAGGGCGGGCGGGCATTCCCACTAGAAGCACGACTCGGTAAAGGCCCAGCATGGAGTGTGTGGTAAGAAGACAAAAGCTGGTGAGAACTAAATGGGGAGGGCCTTATATTTGATCTTTGAGGCCCTAGGGAACCACTGGACTTTATTGAGAAGGGGGAGGAAGCTGAATTGGAGAGAGGGGTTAGACACAGAGGCAGGGCGACCTGGCAGAAGAGCAATAGAGTCAGCAAGGGAAAGGCTCCTTTCCATTTGAGATTGGATGAGTTTGGGGTGCTCTCCAAGGTGGTGGAAGGGGAGGCAGCTGTTCCACCAGGACTCCTCTTCCCTCAGGCTCGGACCCGGGAGCTGGAGAGCCTGCAGCAGATGGTGGAGGAGCTGCGGACCCAGCTGCAGTCAATGGAAGGAGCTAAGGGCTGGTTTGAGCGGCGCCTGAAAGAGGCAGAGGTAAAGCATGTCCCCGCCCTTCTGCCCCCAGCCGCCTTCCAGATCCCAGCAGCCCAGGCTGGCTGTGCTCAGGCCTGCTGTCTTTACAAGCAGGAGGCCCTAGAGGAGCAACATCAGGGGCACCAGGAGAGCCTTCGTGCCGAGGAGGAGCGCCACAAAGCTGAGCTGCAGGTGGGCCCAGGGGCCCTGATGAGGGGGGCCGGGGCAGGGGCAGGGGCAGGGCCTAGCCAGACCTGGCCCATTGGGCTCATCAAGCCTGCTGTCCTTAGCGGAAAGAAGAGGAAGTGCAGGCAGCGGAGGGCCAGCTTCGAGAGGCTGAGGCCTCATGTGGCGACCACCTCAACACCATCGCTCGGCTGCAGCAGGAGGTGAAGGATGTGGCAGACGGGCAGCGGATCCTTGAGAAGAAAGGGAGTGCCGCGGTGAGCAGACAGCCTGGGCCACCAGTCCTCCAAGCTCCAGGGCGAGCACCAGCCCCTGCCCTCTGAGCATCTTCCTCCTTGTGTCCCCTTCCAAAGCTGAAAGACCTGAAGAGACAGCTGCAGCTAGAACGGAAACGTGCTGACAAGCTTCAGGAGCGACTCCAGGAACTCCTGACGAATAGCAAGAGCCGCTCAGGTGAGCCAGAGTACCAGAGGGCACCTGCCCAGGGAGGGGGAGAGCCCTCTCCCTCATGGGGAGGTCACGGGAGCTGGGGAGTGGACCTGGCAGCCTCTTAAGGCTGCTTCTGTCCTGGCTGCATGCGTGCATGCGTGCCCGTACCTGTGTCTGTGTGTCTGTCTTCCTCCTGGGGTTAGAGAGTGAGGACTGAGTCCTCTTCCCTCTCCCCCTCTATCCCTCAGGCTTTGAGGAGCTAGTCCTGTCAGAGATGAGCTCACCCAGCCGGGCACAGACGGGTGATAGCAGTAGTGTCTCCTCCTTTAGCTATCGGGAGATCCTCCGGGAGAAGGAGGGCTCAGCTGGTCCTGCTCGGGTACAGGGAATTAACTTCCATGTCCCCACCCCCCAGCCCTGGGGAGAAGGGAGGGCAGGAGGCTGGGAGGGCGAGGCAGCTGAGTAGCAAAAAGACTATAGGCTTAGAAAGTTTGCTCAGAAGAGAGTTCAGGTCTGGAGGCCATCTTTGTTAAATGTAGCTCAGCCAGGGGTCCAATGGGGAGGGATTGGGGGGACTTTGCGGCCCAAGGTTTCGTGGCCCTCTTTAGTCCTCCTCAGGGAGCCCTCCAGGCCCAGCTCGGCCAGCAGAGCTGTCAGATGAAGAAGTGGCTGAGCTATTTGAACGGCTGGCGGAGACTCAGCAGGAGAAGTGGATGCTGGAGGAGAAGGTGCCCACCCTGGGCCTTCGGGGGAGGGACAGTGGGCCCAGGCTGGGCCTGGGAGGACATTTGTAACTCTGGGTCTTCCCAGGTCAAGCACCTGGAGGTGAGCAGTGCCTCAATGGCTGAAGACCTGTGCCGGAAGAGCGCCATCATCGAGACTTATGTCATGGATAGCCGCATCGGTCAGCTCTGCCCCCACTTGCTTGGCCTCCCCTCCTTCCTTCCCTGTCTCCTCATGGGGCCGTGTCCAGGTCTGGAGGTGGGGGTGGGAAGAGCCCAAGGCACAAGTCTCAGGCCCTGCTTCTCCCCCCTGTAGACGTGTCTGGCCCTTCAGGCCACACAGACAGGAGTGGCCTGGGCAGTGTCCTTCGGGACTTGGTGAAGCCAGGGGACGAGAACCTGCGGGAGATGAATAAGAAGCTGCGGAACATGCTGGAAGAGCAGCTCACCAAAAACATGCACCTCCACAAGGTGTGCATGGTGCAGGGATGGCCCGGCCCCACTGCCCACCTCCCGGACCGGAAGGGTGGCTGGAAATTGGCTCAGGGCGAAGCACTGGGGAGGACTGTTCCTTTGCCCCCTTCTCCGTAGCGGTTCTAGGTTCTGGAACACCCCAAGTGCTGGGGGCGTGGGGTGGGCTCTGACTCTGGCTCTATGCTCTCTGCATCTCCCTCCTTCTACCCCCAGGACATGGAAGTGCTCTCACAGGAAATCGTGAGGCTCAGCAAGGAGTGTGTTGGGGGTGCGGAATCCTCCCCTTCTGTATCTGGAGATGCCAGCTGAGGACAAGATGCAGCCCAGCCGGCTGGCCCAGCCTGGGCAGGGGCGCAGGCTAGCCAGGCCCCCCAGCCCGCATCTGTCCCTGTGCATGACTTGGTGTGACTCAGCTCTCTCTCTATTTATGTTTCCTGGCCCACTGTGGCTGTTGCACTTTTTTTGGGGGGGGGGGCGGGAGAACCGGGGAAAGAGGTTCAAAGTCCAAATGTATTGTGCTGCGCCTGTGTGCTCTGTCAAGGTCCTGATTTGTGTGGCCCTATCTCCCTGAAAGAATAATGTCCTATCTTCCTCTCCTGCCTGAAAATCTGGTTGCCTCTTATTTGCTAAGCGTCCAGGGCTAGACTGGGGCTCTAAGGATGGTGCCTCCACTTGCCTCCCCCTTCATCCCAAAACCTTGCTTTGGCTGCTGTAAGGGAAACTGAGGAGATCGAAGTCCGTAATCCTTTCCATTACAGCTGCACATCATGGCCTCCTTGCAGCGAGGAATCCATTCCTCCTATGTATGAACACTCATTTTTCAGAGGAACTTATCCAAGATTATCTAGAATGGGCCCATTAGGTGTCTGGGTCTTAGTGGGGACAACCTCCCTGCTCCTGCCCCCTTCCCCCATACAGCAACACTGGCTTCCCTCCCCCCACTGAAGGACGACACAGCGAGAATTGCACTCCCTCCCTCCCCCTCTTCCTCCAAGGCCCATTAAAGGCTCCCGTGGCTTCTACAGCCCATCGATCCGAGCCGTTTCCAGCTAAGTGCTGCTGAACTCCAACCCCAGGGACCAAGGGAGGGAGGGAGGGCAAGCTTGGCTCATGAGAGAACTGATGGGGTTGTGGGGGTGGTCTGGTGTCGCTCAGGAAGAGGAGGCGGCTGGCATTCGGGACTGGGCAGTGGAGAACTGGGTTAGACACGGAGAAGGGAATTGGGAGGCAGAGGTACTGATCTCCATCACTGAGAGCTAGCAATTCCCCCCAGGAGAGAATGGAGGCTTGGGGGCTGGGAGCCAGGAAAGCTCCTAACTAGTGTCAGGGCCCCTCCCTCCTCTCCTGCAGCGTCCTGTTTGCTAGAGGAGGAGGAGAAGCCAGGACAGAGGAGCTGCTGCTGCTGCTGCTGCTGCTGCTGCAGTGGGGAGCCCAGGCACCCCGCCCCGGGGAGGATCAAGGGGAGGGGCCAGGAGAAGGCAGCAGGCCGGGCCGGGCTGAGGGCAGAGTGGAAGGGGAACCTCCCTACGACCATTGCTCCATCCCCAGCTTGTGGGGAGACCCGGGTCCCTGCTGCTGCCCCGCCCCTCAAGGCCCAGCCCCCTAGCCTCAATCTCCTCCCCTGCGCAGAGCCCAGCCCCAGCCCCACAGCTTTACTCCCTACTCCCATCCCAGTAGCAGCCGCCACCTGGCCCCTGGCAGTCCCTTCCCGGGAAAAATCCCTGTTCTGCCCGTTGGAGTTTAAGCCCCAACCCCGGTCCCTTGGCCAGGGGGGCCCCAGCCCAGCCCCCTCCCCTGCCAGCGCTCAGGCCCTCCGTTTGCAGCTCTTCCTCCAGCTCAGCCTGGCTCTCTGATCCCCTGAGGCTGCCTCAGCCTTGCTTCTGGCCCTCAGAGCCCCTTTTCCTCTCTGACCCTCACCTGGCACGCAGCCTTCCCCCTCGGCCCCCTCCTCTTTCTCCTCAGCCCGGTCTGACTTTGGGGCTGTGCCACCTCAGCCTTGATCTTGAGCTGGTCCTCTCTTGCAGCTGCATCCTGGTGTTTCTGAGGCAGATGCCCGCCTGAGTTGGTCAGGCAGTCCTGGCAGCCTGTGCCCAGCCCTGCCTGTACAGGGCTGAGTGCTTAGAGCATGGCAGCTGGGGTAGCAACCTGGCTGCCTTTTGCCAGGGCAGCTGCTGTGGGCTGGCTCCCCCTAGCTCAGCAGCCACTGCCTGCTGCCCCCCAGGGATGTGAGGCCCGCAGTGATGAAGTGCTGGTGGTGAATGTCAGTGGGCGACGCTTCCAGACGTGGAAGAATACGTTGGACCGATACCCAGATACACTGTTGGGGCAGCTCAGAAAAGGAATTTTTTTTTGACCCAGACTCGGGTGAATACTTCTTTGACCGGGACCCGGACCTCTTCAGGCATGTCCTCAACTTCTACAGAACTGGGCGCCTCCACTGTCCCAGACAGGAGTGCATCCAGGTGAGCCTTGGGCCTGCTTGAGGGAAGGTCACCACTTGCCTCAGTATATAAAGTTGAGGGTGGGGTGGGGAATGGCATGGGCAGGGAAAAGAGTGTCTGGGGACCCCAGCAGGACTCTGCGAAAGACTTCAGGGCTCTCCCTGGGCAATCAGAGAAGGTGGCCCGATCGCTTCAGACAGGGCCAATATTTTCTTGGGAGAGAGGGGTGGGACTCCACCCATATTCCTTCTGTCCCTGTCTGGGCAGCCCAACAAATTTAGATGCCGCCAGGGGTTTCCTGGCAGCAAATGGAGAGGGTCAGTCTCAGGCTCCTACTCAGGGTGACTGCTGGGCAGTCAGGGCCCAGCCTCCCCAAAGAGAGAAAATGGCCAGGGCCAAGGAGATTGGGAGACTTCCTCCCTAGGGCGAGGGGGGGGGCACATTGAGAGGGGCAGTTGCCCCCTTGCCCCCCCCTCCTCTCCTCTCCAGTTCCTTCCTGTCCTTCAGGCTTTTGATGAGGAGTTAGCATTCTATGGCATAGTGCCAGAGCTCATTGGTGACTGTTGCCTGGAAGAGTACCGAGACCGCAAGAAGGAGAATGCCGAACGCCTGGCTGAGGATGAGGAGGCTGAGCTGGGGGGTCCTGGAGGGGCTGGGGCCGACTGGGCCTTGCCACCTGGCAGCCCCTTTCGCCAGCGCCTGTGGCGAGCCTTTGAGAACCCACATACAAGCACCATGGCTCTGGTATTCTACTACGTGACGGGCTTCTTCATCGCGGTCTCCGTCATCGCCAATGTCGTAGAGACCATCCCCTGTGCAGCTGGTGGCCGGGCTGGCTGGCGGGAGGAGCCCTGTGGGGACCGCTTCCCACTGGCCTTCTTCTGCATGGACACAGCCTGTGTGCTCATCTTCACCGGGGAGTACCTCCTGCGGCTGTTTGCGGCGCCCAGTCGGGGCCGCTTCCTCCGCAGTGTCATGAGCCTCATTGACGCCGTAGCCATCCTGCCCTATTACATTGGGCTCTTTGTGCCCAAGAATGACGACCTGTCTGGGGCCTTTGTGACCTTGCGTGTTTTCCGGGTCTTCCGAATCTTCAAGTTCTCCAGACATTCCCAGGGCCTTCGGATTCTGGGCTACACACTCAAGAGCTGTGCCTCTGAACTGGGCTTTCTCCTCTTCTCCCTCACCATGGCCATCATCATCTTCGCCACCGTCATGTTTTATGCTGAGAAGGGCACTAGCAAGACGAACTTTACCAGCATCCCAGCTGCCTTCTGGTACACCATCGTTACTATGACCACTCTTGGGTAAGTGACTTGGACGGAAAGGATGATGGCTCTGAAATTGACAGGTGTGATGACAGTTCCCATGTCATAGAGGGGGTCTCAGAGAGGCTGAGGGATAAATGGAGTCACTGAGGGATTTGTTCTGAGGGGACCTAGGTGGTATCATGCTTCTTAGTCAGGCCTCCATAATCTCTCAGAAATGGCCAAGCCATGGAATTCCAGAGGCTCGGGGAAACTTAAGAGAGCCTTGATTTCTTCTTTTTATTTCCCTCCAGATCAATTTTATTCTCTTTCAATTAGTGTTTCTTTTTCTCCCTGCCCTCCCCACTGAACGGTTAAGAAAAGGAAAATCTCCATGAGAAACACGCAGCATCAAACAAGCCAGATGCCCACGTTGGCCATGTCCAAACATGTGTGTCTCATTCTGCATCCTGAGTCTGTCCCCTCTCACGTTTCTGCACTTGCTGCCTGGCTTTCCAAATGGCTCATGGTGGTTCTAGAGGTGGAAAGGGCATTGGGCACTGGGGCAAAGAGAAGGTGAAGGACTTGGCCCAGGTCACTCGGGAATTACCAGGCAGGCACTCATGTGGATCTCCAGCAGGGCTCGGGGTGGGTGTGCATGTTGCGGAAGAGTCTTTGAGCAGTTCTTCATTGTCTGTGTATAGTCAGCTGAGGCCACCCACCCAGCAGAGCGGATCCAGGCCCCTGCGGGTGCCTGACTCTTCCTCCACTGTGGCATCTCCAAGTCAGATAGGAGCTTAGGGATAGAGAACATGTCATTATAAAGAAGGGAAAGCTGAGGTCCTGAGGGAGCTTGAAGTCCTGCCACGTGGCTTTGAGGAAGTGTTGTCTCCAATGTGGGCTTTGGTTTCCCTCTCTGTCAAATGTCTGGGGTGCACCTGCATATCACAAATGGCTTTTCCCGAGAGGGTTAGACAAAGAGGGCACTAGGTCCCCCGTCTCCATTCCCCCATCTGTTCCTTTGCAGTGCATTTAGGGTTCAGGTCAGTGAGCAGTGTTCAGCGAGGACTCCTTCCACTCGGCCTGTGAGGCCGACGGAGAGCCCCAATCCAGCATTGGGTGTGTGCCTGCAGGTACGGGGACATGGTGCCCAGCACAATTGCTGGAAAGATCTTTGGCTCCATCTGCTCACTCAGCGGGGTGCTGGTCATTGCCCTGCCGGTGCCTGTTATTGTCTCCAACTTCAGCCGAATCTACCATCAGAACCAGCGTGCTGACAAGCGCCGGGCCCAGCAGAAGGTGCGACTGGCAAGGATCCGAATGGCCAAGAGCGGGACCACGACAGCCTTCCTTCAGTACAAGCGCAACAGGGGCCTGGAGGTGGGGCTTTGCCCTGGGTGGTGGGCATGGTGGGGGGGGGGCATGAGGGTTTGTTGCCAGAGTGGCCCATCTGATGCTCCACCCATGTGACCTAGGACCAAGATGGTGCTGAAAGGCCAGCGCTGAGCACACGAAGCAGCTCAGCTTTTGAACAGCAACACCATCATCTTTTGCACTGTCTAGAAAAGACCACGGTGAGATCCTTTCCCGTCTGTCTCCCTGTAAATGCCTGCTTCCTATGCTCCTTCAGGAACATTTCCTTCATTGGGTCCTCCCTGCCATTCCCTGCTCCCTTAGGGCTCTGTCTGCCCCCGATGATGCTTACTTACTCTCTCTCTCTCTCTCTCTCTCTCTCTCTCTCTCTCTCTCTCTCTCTCTCCCTCCCTCCCTCCCTCTCTCCCTTCCTCTCCCTCTCTCTCTCCCTCTCCCTCTCCCTCCCTCCCTCTCTCTCTCCCTCTCTCTCTCTCTTTCTCTCTCTCTCTGTCCCCCTCCCTCCCTCCCTCTCTCTCTCTCTCTCTGTTCTTCTCTCTGTCTCTGTCTCTTCTCTCCTCCCAGTCACATGAGTTCACAGATGAGTCCACCTTCAGTGAGGCACTGGGAGTCATTTCCCTGGGTGGCCAAACCAGCCGGAGCACATCTGTGTCTTCCCAGGCTGTCATAGGCACCAGCACTCGGGCTAGTAGTCTGATCTCTTCTTGCTGCCCCCGACAGAACAAGCAGCGCCGGGCCATTCGCCTGGCCAACTCCACGGCCTCTGTTAGCCGAGGCAGCATGCAGGAGCTGGACACTCTTGCTGGGCACCATAGCCCAGGACCCCAGAGGTAACGTGGCCTTCATTACCTGGAGCCAGGAACTGAAGATTTGGGTAGGGGGCCCTAGGTGCCTCAGGTGCAAATAAAGCTGAATCCAGTCCCTTGTCCACCAAGTGACTCATTCCCACTAAGATGAGAATTTATAGCAAAAGTCAACAGCCATGTGTACCACGGAGTGCCCCCACTCACTGATCCTTTCACTGCCCAGGGACTCTAGCCATTCACCCTGGAAGGAATCTTAGTTATCATTTAGTCTTCCCATGCCCCTCCCATTTTATGGATAAGGAAATTGAGGCTTGGGGGGGGGTCAGACTGACTTACCCAAGGTGGCATAACAGCTGGGTTGCAGATCTTGGGATCCTCCCCTAGGGCCTTCTCTCACTTTCTGCTTCCATCCAGCAGCCGAGCCAGCCTCAATGCCAAGACTCATGATACTCTGACTCTGAACTGTGACAGTCAGGACCTGGTGGCGGCCATCATCAGCATCCCCACCCCCCCAGCTAACACCCCAGATGAGAGCCGGCCACGTTCCCCTGCCAGTGACAGGGGGGAGGGGCCTGGTAGACCCTCTTCAGGCAGCAGCAGCAGCAGCAGGGGGGCCCTCCGGAACTCCAGCCTGGGCCCTTCTTACCTTCTGCACAATGCTGTCAAAATCTCCTCCCTGTGACTAGAGGGCTTCACCACCTTGGATGTTTCCCTGTTTTGTTTTCAAAGCCATATTTGGAGGGGGCAAAGTGTTGCAGATGAGGGACTCACTGACCTTCTCTTCCTGCCCCAAGCTATGCAATGGAATATTCTAGTGGTGGGGGGGGGCCCCATCTCAGTCCCTCTTCAGCCTCCTCCACTGCCCTGAACAGGACAATTTTGTGGTGCAATGGAATGGGGGGGTGGGGGAGTTAGCTAAGTGCTCTAATCCAAGAAGCCAGTTGGGGGAAGGGAGAACCCTAGCTCCACTCATGTCCCCTCTTCTCTGTCCCCCAGAGACATGGACACCATGAGTTGGGCTGGCAGAGGATGAGCCTTTGGGTCTCCCCATAGCCTCCCTATTCCTAGGACCTGTCACTGACTGGGCCAGCAGGAAGGAACCTAGCTGAAATGGGTGTCTCAGGAGGACATGTGTCAGCACCTGGGCTAGCAGAGGCTGCCTGGGAGATGTCAGCCGGCAGAGGGAGCCTCCACCACACTGCTGTAGCCTCTCTCCATGGATTGGCCTTCTTCATGTGGAGACAGGTGACTAAGCTGAACAGCAGAAGGGGAGCCTTCCCCCATCTCCTCCCGTCCTCCTCAGGCACGGAGATCAGCGAGGAAAGCATAGTGGAAAGTGATCCACGGGGTCTTGGCCAGAGAAGCGGAGTCCTGGCCCTTTGGAGCACAAGCTCAGCTCCCTAGGAAGGGAGGTCCAACATCCAGCCTTCTGGTGCCCTCCCTGCCCCCATGACATAGGCAGCAGTAGCTCTCAGCCTAGCTCTTTGATGCAAAGAGCCTCTGCTATCCCGCCATTCTGCCCTTGAGATCCAGCTGAATTCTTGGGGAGAGGACTAAGGGCCAGGAGGAGAGGTGTTTTAAGGTCTCCAGAGCTCTTAGAGCCTGCCTCAGTTTCTCTTCTGTGTCCTAGATCCCCTCCATCAGCTGGGGTTTGCTGCCTGCCTCACTTGCTTGCCTTTTTCCTGGCACGTCTCAGGTTTCCCCACCTGCCCCATGCTCAAAGCCAGTGGCCTACTGGATGCAGTTCAAACCAATAAAAACCTACACACAAATGAAAAGAGAACGTGGCCCACAAGTGGGGAATGGGCCAGGGTGGGGGTGGGGTGTGTGTGCAATATGGGGTACTGGACTGGAGGTGACATCAGAAAGGGCTTGAGTTGGGTTCCGGCAGCCACTCTTTCCCAGTCTGGGTCTCAACTTGCTTATCTGGGAAATGGGTCTGATGCCTGCTTCCCCTGCTATTCCAGCCCAGGCTAAGCTAGCCTGCCCCAGTGGATGGTGGGAAAGCAAGGACCTAAATGCTCTGGCTGACCCACCGAGAGAGAGAAAAAGAGAGAGAGAGAGAGGTCTGGGAAGCAGAGCCCAGGGGCGCTGCCAACTTTAGAAAGCTCATCGAGGAAATGATGGTTTTGTGAGCTTATAGAGGTGCGGGAGCTTTTAAAGGGGGTGGGGGGTGGGAGAGAGGAAAAGGGCATGGGACCTCAGGACACGGAGACCTTGACTACCACTAGGGGGCAGCATGGACCGCAGAATAGCAATGGTGGCTGTGCATGGGTGGGGTGGGGGTGGGGGGACGAATCGGCAAGCTGGTGGGGCGGGGCAAGATAAAGGACCTGACTGCGCGGGGCGTGGGCGGAGCGAGCCTCTAGTTTGACTGACAGGCAAGGGCGAGCAATGAGAGAAGAGCGGAGAGCTCCGCCCCTTTCTCACCTGCGCGGCGAGGCGGGGGTGATGGGGCGAGGGGCGGAAGTGACGTTGCGGAGGAGTGTGTGACACGGCCTGTGGCAACTCGCCAGGCGGGGAGGGGCAGGCGCCCGTGGTGGAATTGCTGTGTCTGGACACTGCGCCTCCCCTCAGTCCCTGGCTGTGGAAGTCGCAAAAGGCCTCCGTGCCCTCCGCTGCTCGCCGAGACGTAACAGGGGGTTTGGGCCCGGACTTAACCCGCACCCCGTCCCACTCTCCGCCCCGCCCGGTACACTGCCCGCCATCAACGACGGGGGCGGGGCGGAGAATGGAAGGGGAGGGGGAGGGCTTTCCTCCCCGGCCAGTGCGCCTGTGCGGGCCGGTCGGCCGCGTCAGGGTGTTTGTTTTTGTCAGTCACCAGGTGGAGCGGGGCGGGGCCTCCAGACTGGAGTCGGGAGGGAGAGGAGGAGGAGGAGGAAGAAGAAGAAGAAGAGGAGGAAAAGTCAGCGGCGGCTGAAGGGCCCGCGCCCCGCCCCCCCGCCTCCCCCCGCGGCTTCCTCAGCCGGGCAGTTCCCGCCCTGCGCGCTCTGCTCGCCGCCCTACGTGGTCAGGGCCTAGCCGGGCTCTCGGTCCCCGGCCCGTGGGCCTCCCAGAGCTAGCCCTCCCCCTCGCCTCGCCTAGCTCTCTGCCCTTCCCTGCCTGCCCCTCCCCATCCGGGGCTTCGGCCTGGCCCCGCCCCTGCTCATCCGGGGCCTCGGGCCCTCGCCCCGCCCCTTCTCCCTTCAGTTTCCCGGGGTCCGCCGGCTCTTTTCCGGCCTCCCCTCGCCTCGCCTGGCCTTGCCCTTCCCTTCCCTTCCCTTCCTTTCCTGCCCTTCCTTCCCTTCCCTTCCCTTCCCGCCGCCGCCACCTCCCGCTCCTCCTGCTCCCGGCCCGGGCGGCGGCGGCGGCGGCGGCGGCGAGGAGGAGGAGGAGGAGGCGAAGGAGGCGGGCGGGGAGGCGGCGCTCGGCGTTGCGGCTCCGCGGGGCCTGGCGGCTCCGGCCTCTCCTGGTCGTCGGCCCTCCCCCTCCCCCCGTCCCCGCCCCGCGCCTCGGGCCGGCCTGGCTCCGGCCCGGCCCCGGCCCCGGCGGCCCTGAGGGGGCGTCGGAGCCGGAGCCGCTGAGCCCCAGGCCCAGGCCGAGCCCGCCGGCGTCAGGGCCCCGGAGCGCCATGACCATCCTGCCCAAGAAGAAGCCGCCGCCGCCGCCGCCCGGGCCGCCGCCCGCCGGCTCGGATGCCGACTCGGGCCCGGACGGCGAGCCTGGCGGCGGGCCCGGCGGCCCGGGCGGCGGCGGGCCCGGCGGCCCGGGCGGCGGCGAGGGCGTCCCGGGCGCCGGACCGTCGTCGGGCGGCCGCCCGCGGGCCTCGCCGCCGCCACTGGCGCGCTGGGCCTCGGGCGCGGGCTCCGCGGCTTCCCGGCCGCAGGCCTCGCCGCCGCCCCCGGGCCCCGGGGGGCCGGCCTCCGCCGGGGCCGCCGACGCGCTGGGTCTGGGCCTAGGCCTGGGCGCCGTGGGCGGCCCCGGCGGCGGTCCGGGAGGTGGCTGCTGCTCGGGCCCGGGCCACAGCAAGAGGCGGCGGCAGCAGGCGGGCCCCGGGGGCAACCCCGGTGGGCCTCCGGGCGTCGGCGTCGGCGGTGTGGGCCCAGGCTCGGGGGGCAGCCCCGAGCGCGACGAAGGCGGCGCCGGCTACAACAGCGAGGACGAGTACGACACGGCGGCGGCCCGAGTCGAGGCCATGGATCCGGCCACTGTGGAGCAGGTACGGGGTGGGGATGAGGGGGGGGGCTGCTCAGGGCTGTTGCTGCGGCCTTTCTGCTGTGATTACTTCGCATACCCACTTTGGATCTGAGCCCCCCCATCTTTGTCCCCTTCGGCCCTGAGGTTCCCATTTTTGTCCGCACTTTGATCCCCGGGGCTCCCCATCTTTGTCCCTTCTTTGATCCGTAGGGGTCCCCATCTTTGTCCCCGTCCCTTCGTTCCAAGCCCTCCATCTTTGTCCCCCTCTTCGGTCCTGAGCTCCCTATCTTTGTCTTCTCTTTGATCCCTGAGCTCCCAATCTTTGTCCCCCTTAGGTCCTGAGCCCCCCATCTTTGACCCCCCTTTGATCCTGAGTCCCCATCTTTGTTCCCTTTTTGATCTCTGGGGCTCCCCATCTTTGTTCCCCCTTCGGTCCTCAGCCTTCCCATCTTGGTCCCCTACTTTGTTCCTGAGCCCCCCATCTTTGTTCCCTCTTTGATCCCTATAACTCTCATCTTTGTTCCTTCCTTTTAGTTAGTCCTTAGAGCCCCCATCTTTTGTCTCTTGTCCTTAGAACCCCCATCTTTGTCCTCTCTTTGACCCCTAGGGTCCTCCATCTTTGTCCCACCTTTGTTCCCTAGGGCCCCCCATGTTTGTCCCCCCTTGATCCCCAGGATCCCTCATCTTTGTTCTGTCTTTGATTCCCTATGTCCCCTATCTTTGTGTTCTCCCCCCACCCCCACCCCGTGCCTAGAGCTCCCTTGCCTTACCGCTTTGCTTACTCCCCTCCTCTGTATCCCCAGGACCCTCTCTGTTCCTTTCTTCATGCTTGGCCCCCAGAGTGCCCCACCCCCAGCCCACTGGGTCCCTTCCTGCTTTTCTTACCCCTTGTCCTAGCACTCCCCCCCATCTTTTCTTATTCCATCCTGGGTCTCCATGACCCCCTGCTTTTCTTACCTAGTGTTTCTCCCTTGGTCCGTAGACCCCCGTGTCCCCCAATTTTTAAATGTCTTAGCCCCCATCCTAGAGTCCCCTGGCTTTTCTTACTACATTTTTGGTCTCTAGCCCTCCCCCCCCCAATCCCTAGAGTCCCCTAGTACCTCCCCTGCTTTTCTTACTCCATCTTTCATCCTTGCTTCTCCAGGGTGGGGGGGGACCCCTGCTTCTGCTTTCTCTTGTAACTTTCCTCCCAAAAAGCCACTCTCTTTTCTTCCTCTCTGTTGGGGTCCTTTTCTTGCCAGGCCGCAGCCTGCCTACTTGCCCACCTGCCTTCTCCTGGTTCTTCCCTGCTCCCCTTCTCTTCCCCTAAATGCTCTCTTGGGGCAGAGCTGGGGCAGGGAGGACAGCAGGATCTCCAGCTGAGTCTCTGTAATCCTTCTAGAATTGAGGGCCTTGACTTCGGTGCCTTGAAAGGTCCCTTGTAGCACCAAGTGCTCTCCCCTCATCTTTCATGAGCCTCCCATCTCGTTACAGTCTATCATCTTTATCTTCTTAACCATTTCTGGGGCTCTAGGAAGCTGTCAGTGTCCTCCTCAGGGCCCCTGAGGAGGGAGCTGGCTGGCAGGACTCTCTTCCTCTGTCTCTGTCCATCGAGCTCCTCAGGACAACAGGGCAGCTTCTTCCCTAGGGCCTTGTCCAAGGATGAAGCAAATGCCACAGTTGCTGGGCTTTGTGGCCTGGGCCAGCTCCTTCCAATCTGGAGAAGAGGTTTCCTCCCCCATCTGCATGGTTCCTGGCCTCCAGGCTCCTGGAGGAACTGTCCTTAGGTTGGGAGCTGCTTTAAGGCCCTCCTGCTCCCAGGCCTACCGGTGGCCAAAATCGGGCAACATTAGCGCCCTGCAGGTGGCCACTGACTGGTGAGGCATGGGGGCATGCCTTTGGTAGGGCCCCTACTTCTCTTGCTGGGCAGCTGGCCTAGCATCTTGGGAGAGACCCTTGATAGTGCCTTGAGGCCCATGATCCCTACTTGTCAGCTTTGGTTCCTGACCTACTTCCTTTGGGGCTCAGGCCCTCTTTTAGTTGTAGGTGGTCCAGTGCATAGAACACCTGGAGTTGGGAAGCTCTGAATCCACATGCAGCATCAGATGATTCCTAGCTGTGTGATCTTGGGCCAGAGATAGTACAGAGTGCTTAGTACAGTGTTTGCCCCTTTCCTACCCCTTCTGTCCTCTGGGGGCTCTTGTTTCTCCTCTCAAGCAGGAGATGGATGGATGGATAGATGCTGGTGTCTTGTCCTTGGTTGGACCGGCCCGAAGGCTGCCTTTGGGTGTGGGGCGGCAGAGGGGGACAAGGATGGACTGAGAAAGGCAGGAGAGGAAGGGGAGCTCCAGGGACCAAGAGGAGCCGTTTGCCCCATTGGGGCAGCCCTGAGCACCACTGCTCAACTTGGATTCCATGTTCTGTTCTCCCTCCCCCAAGCAAGCTCCTGTCACCCCCTAGCAAGGGCTGCTTAGGGGCTCCCAAGAAGAGAGGGGATGGTGAGCCTGGAGGCTCCTTACCATCATTACCTGCAAGGCCACTGTGGGCTAAGGAAAGAGTAGGACCAGGATCTGAGCTGCCCTTGGTGTCCTGCCCCCACTTCCAGGCCTGGCCCAGAGCCCAACTAGCAACTTTCTGGGAACATTGGTTTTTTTTTTTTTTTCTCGTGCCAGACACCAGGTGTCAGCAGCATATGGGCAGCTGGGGGACGAGGGCAAGCCTTGCACCAGGCAGTAGATGTGTCCATGCCCCTTACCCCCTCATCTAGCCAAAAGCCACCCCCATCAGGGGAAGGGGGTCAGCTTGTCCATTTGGACTGATGTGCCCGGGCCTGCATGGTGCTCCTATTTCCTCAGCCAGCAATGCAGGGCCAAGAAGCTTGTCTGTGGCCATACCACGCCACATGCATGTGTGCACTCACCCTACCTCTTGGTGATCTTGGACAAGGGGAGGTTCACTGGTCGGAGGCTCCCAGGAGTTGGAGTGCTTCCCGTATTACGGGGCTTTGTGGGGTAGCTCCCCAATTCCCTCCCTTTGCCGTCTTCTGAGTTCTGACTGACTGCAGTTGGGTAGCAGAGGCTGAGGCTCAGGCTGTGCCAGTGGATTCCACCTGGGGCTGGAGCTAGAATCCTTTTTCTCTGCTAACGTTGCAGCCACATCTGCCTGCCTTAGTTCCCATTCTGCCAGGATTGGGGTGGGGGGGTTCCCTTTGGGCCCAGGCTGAAGGACTCCTAGTCTCTGTGCCTCTCCTTCAGCTCTGGCAGAAGGAATAAAGACAAGATGACCACTGGGCAGCTCCTCTTAAAGCCCTGCAGGCCCTTTGGCCAGCCTGGCCCCACACGGAGGTTGGGCAGCCTCTGTGGGGCCAAGGTGGCCAGGCTGCTCCAACTGGCTGGTCTCTAAGCTCTTGCTGTCTCTCATCTTCAGCAGGAGCACTGGTTTGAGAAGGCCCTTCGGGACAAGAAAGGGTTCATTATCAAACAGATGAAGGAGGACGGGGCCTGCTTGTTCCGGGCAGTGGGTGAGTTGTTGCTGCTGCTGCCGCTGCTGCTGCTGTCCTGTGGGCTGGGGAGGCAGGAAGGAGGAGCCTCTCAGGAAATGCCTCTGGTTCCCCCACCCCTTCCCCTGCCTTTCCCCACCTCTCTGTGCCCCTAGAAAGGTAGAATGATTGGGAGCTTGTCCTGCGGCCCTCCGTACCGCTGGGCAGTAGGGGCCTAAGAACCACTGCCCCGAGCTCCATGTGGCTCCTTGGCTGCATGATGCTTTGTGTGTCTGCTAGCTGCCTGTCTGGTGGGGCTGGTGCACATTTAGTCTGTCCTAGTAGCTGGTGGTGTTAGAGTTCTGGACTTGGAGTTGGGAAGACCTGAGTTCAAATCCAGCCTCAGACAAATCCTGGGCAAGTCACTTAACCCATGTGTGCCTTGATTTCTTCCATGGCAAAAATAGGGGGAACAGCCTCTCCCTCCCAGAGTTGTTGTGAAGATCAGAGAATCACTATTTAGAAAGCACTGAGCACAGTGCCTGGCCTCTCTAGAAGGTGCCACAGAAATGCTTATTCTCTTTCCTGCCAGGTGTATGTATTGGGGGGTATCCCCTGAGGTGATGCTGGGCCTGAGGGGTTACCCTTCTCTCTCTCATGCCAATCAGTGGGTCTTTATTCAGTGAGAATGAATCGCCTGCTGGCTGGAGGCAGTCCCCCTGGCAGATGGTGGAATGGGGCAGGCCAGCAGCCAGCCAGGCCTTTTTCTTGGGAAATGCAGCTGTGCCTCCTGCCCATCCGAGTTCTTTTAGGATCCCTAACTCTAAAGCAGCTGCTGGAGCCATGGGGGCAGGTGGTGAGGCTTGCTTCCTCAGCCTCCGCTGGAGGAGGTGGGGAGGCTGTAGCCATAGGCCTCTCTCTGCTCTGGGAGGACTTTGCCCCAGGACCACACGGGCAAGCTACTAGGGGCTTGGAGTGGAGCTCAGATTCCTGATGGGATAAAAGAGCATGGGGGGCACTTGGGAGGAGCATTATCTGGCTCTGGCTTGGAGATCCATATGGTCACTGCTGAAGGGAGAATTTGGAGCTGTCTCCAAGCCTGACCAGGGGGATCTGGCTCCCTCGGGACCCCAGGAAGCCATCCACTTGGGACCATAGGCCCGTTTGGAGCTGCAGGCTCGTCTAGCCCAACTACATCCCTTTACAAATGAGGGAGAGCAGGGTTCCAAATCTGACTCCCAATCCCATTATTCTTTCTATGCTAGCCTATGGCCCTGTCCTGCCCTCCAGTCCCCCATGGCCTGGCATCAGAGTCCTCTCCTGGGTACTGGCAGGGTGTCTTACCTGCAACAGTTCCTTGGGAAAGTGAGTGAGTGTACATCATCCTCTCCGCCGTGTGGGCTCGGCAGGACCCTGGCAGTCTGGCCTTGTGCCCAGCCCTTTTCCCCTCCTAGGCCCCAGCTCAGCTCTAAATTCAATCCTTGGGGGGTGGGGTGGGGGTATGTGGAGAGAATGGACCCTTCTCTGGGCCTCTTCCTCTCTG